GAAAGATACTAAGCTATTTGTACTTACCTGCTCACAAGCCTCTGCAGATATCCACACACATTCAGGTGACAGTCCAAGAAGCTCTTTGCTGCCACTTCTGCTGCTTTACGTGAGGGGCTCTGGCTGCCAAGCAACTGCATTGCCTCCAATAGAACAACGCTGTATAAGCAGGCACTACGTAACGTGCTAGGAGGGGAAGGTACTGCGAGTACTCCTTTGCGAGCACTGCAACAGCAACAGCACTGATGGCTCTACACAGTCCCTTTGAAAGCCTCATATGCACTTGTCTCCTTCCCATGTTCAGTGAGGCATGGTGGGGGCTGCGCAGATGTGCCCCCACATCTATAGGGAGCTGGAAGTCCACGCTACCTGGTCTGTGGTAGTGAAAGAAAGACAGCTCAGCCTCTCCTCACAATAAATCCATGCTAGTATAACCCCATCCCTGGAAGAAGCAGACGAAGTATGCTGACAAAGTGTACATGACAGAGGAGGGGCAGTATACATCCTCTATCATCATCATGAGGGTTGCTTTCGTCATTAAAACCCTCCTCTGAAGACATAGGTCTTCTGCCCACCACCCCCAAAACCAAAGGTCTGCCTCTTTAGTTCAAGGTGTAACAGGCACAGGATACTACTTATAAGGGCCAATACGACACTTAAGGCTTTGGAAAGCATCTTTGCTGCAGAAATTTTATAAAAGGACTTCCCTCTATAGCTGCTAAAAGTCTGCATGATGCAAGATGCAATCTGCAGGTTTGGGCTATGTAGCCATGTTTTTCCTCCCCACATATATTTTTCTCTAACGTCCACAGAACATAATAACTGTGAGGCAAGAGCCGAAGGCTCAACACAGGTGGAGTTCAGCTCATGAGCAGCTCACACGTGCACTGAGCAGGCACTCTGAAGACACCAATGAGGTTGCAGGAAGCAAGAAAAAGGAAATTGGGAAGGGCCACCTGGAACTGTGAACAGCCTGTGGAAAGGAGCCAAGTCTTTCCCCTTCCAAACCCTTCATATTCTGCCAACCCAATCTTACAGGTAGAGAGAGCAAGGAAAAGGATGGTGAAGAAAATAGTAATGGAAGAAAATAGAATGACCTGACCTCTAGCTGTAGGGATTAAATAGTAGAGTGAGCTAATAAGCTAGTCAATACTTAGTCTCAAAGTGCAAGGACTCTTGATAATTGGCAAGACAGGTGGCTCTGCATGGAGGGGTTGCTTACCCAGAGATCCCAGTCAGCAATAAAATATAGATAACATTGACATGAAAGCAGAACAGGAAAACAGGAGGGGGAACATTTTTGGGGTAAGAACGGTATAAAAGAGGGACAACCGAAGCGGTCAGGGTCCGTGGTGTGACCCCTGCATGGGAAAGCCCGGACCCCGGCTAGCTGGTAATACTTATTATCTTTCTCCTA